AACAACAACAACAACATGGCACTTTGTCTTTCTTTTACTTATAGACTCAGAGACTTGATAACCAAACTTGTTAGAAGTATGTATAAAGGAATACATTTTCAGTGGGGACCAGGCATTTTCCCATGCTTAAAGAGTAAAGCTATAATGTTTGGAATCTGTAATCTAGAAATGTGATAAACAACATGGAATTCCAGATGGGTGAGGTGTCATCAGTTAAAATGGTAGCGATAAGGCAGTTCCATGGGCTTTATTATCTGACTCTGTCAAAACCTTTACTGTTGTCCAACAAGCTCTTTAACTACCTTAAAAGGCTATTTGGAATACTATGGAAGGATGATGCTTTTCTTGCTACTAACCAGAAGTCATGTGTTAGATTACGTGTAGAGAAAGGAGAAGGTAATGCATTAAGAAACCACAGTAAAGGTTCAAACAATCTTAAGTATTAAGGTCACAGATAGAAATACTATACGGCATTACAGCCTGTAATTATCAACATTACAGGTAAAATTTAATTACTCCTTCATCCTTACAGAGCAGCTTCCCTTTAAATGAGTGCATACTCAGACCCTAGAACAACGCTTTGCTGAAACTGAGCCTTACGCATGAGAATCCCAATTTACCAACCGTTAATTTGAGGCAACTGTTCTTTTACCAGAAGATTCATCTGTCATCCAAATATGTTGTTTTAAAAATTCCATTTGCAGGTAACTTTTTTGGGGAGAACACCCCACCTGCAAAAAGTACCACACCAGGCCAGACTGTTCTTTAACTCCCTCAGCTTTACCCTGCCGACTCCAGGTGATGCTTGTCTCTGGATTTGCAGTGAAAGTCTCCCACAGTATCCAGTTTGGCCACCATATTGCTGACCAGTGAATGGCTGTGTACACGGTTTCTTTATGTTACCTCTTTACAGGCAGTTTAACATTATTTAAATTTTGCACGCTACTTAGAAAATTCAGATTATGTCTTAGTGGTAAAGAATTAAGGTTAAAATCAAAACAAACAACAACAGAAACCAACCTAGCAGGCCCCAGATCTCAAACAGTACTCCTTTAAAAGCAGCGTGGCCACATATACTGCCCTTTCCACCACATTGAGTTGTGTGGTAGAGGCAGAATACACATTTTGAAACCAGTCATGACTGTCATCCTCACAATTCTAGGCTGGAAGGTATTTTCTTCAACTACACCTCTGCTGGCGAAGGGAATAGGATTTCTTTAGGGAAAGCAGGTGGAACATTTTGTTGACATCAATACCGGAGGGTTAACAACTTTGCCCTACTCTTCATGTTCCTATAAAACAAAACCCAAACCCCTGCCATCAAGTTGATTCCAACTCCTAGCAACCCTATAGGACAGAATAGAACATAGGGTTTCCAAGGTTATAAATCTTTACAGGAGCAGACTGCCATGGCACATCTTTCTCCTGTGGCACAGCTGGGGGGTATGAACTACTGACATTTCAGTTGGCACAGCTGGGGGGTATGAACTACTGACATTTCAGTTGGCAGCCAAGCACTTTAACCAGCACACCACCAGGGTTCCTGCTTCTATAAAGGGGCAAAGGGGAGGATTTCACTCCCCAGAAGAGAAAATAATGCTATCTTCTTTCTCCCCTCTCATATTAAAAAAAATAGAAACAAACCAGAAGTGTACAGACTCCCTGATATGGAAATTCTACCAGGGGAATTTTTCCTGTAGAAATATTCCTCAAAGTTAGCTCCAACTTGTCACTAAAGTCAGATTAAAACAACATGAGAAGAAAACTCCAAGACCAACCTGCTGTACAAAACCAGATGCAAACATTAACAGACAAAATCCACTGGTGACTGAGACCTTGGATAAGCAAAGCACTATTGAAGAGGAAGAACAAAGTCGGAGGTCTCACACTCCCAGATCTCAAAAGCTACTACATAGCCACAATAGTCAAAACAGGTTGGTGCTGGTACAATGATAGACACATGGATCAGTGGGACAGAATTGAGAACCCAGATCCAGCGACCTGTGGTCAGCTGATTTTTAACAAAGGTTTGAAATCTTGGGAATTAAATGGGAAAGAGATAGTCTCTTTAACAAATGGTGCTGACAAAACTGGATATCCATTTGCAGAAAATGAAACAAGATCCGTACCTCATACCATACGCAAAAAACTAACTCCAGATGGATCAAAGACTTAAATGTGAAACCTAAAACTATAGAGTTCCTCAAGAAAAAAATAGGGGCAAATTTAGGGGCCCTAATTTATGGCATAAACAGACTATCAAGCATGACCCAAAATATACAAATAGCAGAAGAGAAACTAGATGAACAATACCTTCTAAAAATTAAATTTTTATGTGTTTCAAAAGACTTATCCAAAAAAGTAAAAAGAGAGCCTACAGATTGGGAAAAAAATATTTGGTAATGACATATCTGACAAGAGACTTATCTCCAGAATTTACAGAAAACTCCAATACCTCAACAACAAAAGATTAACAATCCAATTAAAACATGGGCAGAAGACATGAATAGACACTACACCAAAGAGGATATTCAGGCGACCAGCAAATACACGAAGAAATGCTCACAGTCAGAGAGATGCAAATCAAAACAACAGTGAGATACCATTTCACCTGAGCACTAATGGCAAAGTTCAACAAGACAGAAAATAACAAATACTGGCGAGGATGTGGAGAGATTGGGACTCCCATACACTGCTGGTGGAACTGTAAAATGATACAACTACTGTGGAAAGCAGTATGGCGATTCCTTAAAAAGCTGGAATTAGAAATACTATTTGACTCAGCAATCCCATTACTAGGTAAATATCCTAAAGAAATGAGAGCCAGGGCAAGAACAGATACATGCACACCCATGTTCGTTGCAGCACTATTTACAATAGCCAAAGATGGAAACAACCCAGGTGCCCATCAACAGAAGAATGGATGACCAAACTACGGGTACATTCACACAGCGGAATGCCATGTAGCACTAAAGAATAATGTAGAATCTGCAAAACACCATGTAACGTGGATAAACTTGGAGGACATTATGCTCAGTGAAATAATCACAGAAGGACAAATATAGTATTAGTTCATTATTGTAAAAAGTCAAGGAAAGGTTTATATATGGAAGGAAACTTTGTTGGTTAACAGGGGTGGGAGGGGGGGAACATGCCAAAAAAAAAAAAAAAAAAAATTGACCCATGTCACTTTAGTTTTGCGTATTTCACTGTACATAAATCATATTTCAATAAAATGTATCTTACAAAACAATCCACTGGTAACTTCAAATAATAATTGAACAAGTAGGATTTCTCCCAGAAATGCCAGTATATTGGTCACGGTTCTGAATGAAACAAACAAAAAACCACGCTACCTTCCAAAGTATTGTCCCACGCAACAGTATGTTGCTATAACCCAATATGAGATACCACCCAGATTCATACTGCTGTTGTTGGCCAAAAACTGTAACAGAGAGCAAGAGGGAAAAATGAAAAATCTAGGTTTCAGCCTTGCTAGATCTGTGAGAAGTCTTGGTGGCTCAATGGCTAAGTGCGCGGCTCCATGAGGAAAGACCTGGCAATTGGTTCCTATAAAGATTCCAGGCGAGAACAGCATATCTGGCAGTAATGGGTCCTTTAAACAATGAACTATGTGAGACCAAACGGTCAACATTTACCCAAAAGCAAAGGTGAAAAGGCAAGGAGGCAAAGGGAAGCTAGATCAATGGAAACAGAACAAACAGTATGGAAATAAAAGAATGCTGACATATTGTGAAAATTGTAACCAATGGCATGGAGCAATCTGTATAAAAATTGTTAAATGGGAACATAATTTGCTCTGTAAACTTTCACCTAAAACAATAAATTATTATTAAAAAAAAAAAAAA